GGAGGGTTGCTTCTGAAATGCTTAGCACACAATGAGCTCAAACCAGCATGGCTGCACACCCTTTATTAGTTTATTTAAAAAAAAACAAGTTTCTCTGTAACAGGGTGAGTTGCTGGTTTTTTGGTTTTTTCATTCCTTTGAAATTCCTGGAAGTTGGAGTCGTAATTGTTGTTGTTTTATCCAGGGAGACTCTGCTCACCAAACTCACCGTGTTTGGCTCCCCGTTGTTCCCCCCCCCTTCTCTTTTCCAGTTTTTTGCTCCCTTGAAGCCCACAAGGGTCATGGTAGAATACAACTCCCATGGAGAAGCCACAGGAGAAGCGGACGTACAGTTTGAGAGCCACGAGGAGGCAGTTGCTGCAATGGCCAAGGAGGGGTCACCCATGCGTAAGTGTAAAGGCAGGATGTGATACAACTATAAGTCTTAGATGCTCAGGTGCTTGGGCACGTCCCCCCTGGCCACTGGTAACACACCGCCCAACACTATCATTTTAAACCTGGAATTCCAGGTTGCTCCGTAATGTTCAACTGGCTTTCTGGAAAAAGAGAGGAGAATGTAATAGATACGAGTAACTGAACACAAACTGACCTCTCTTAAATTGTTCCCCAGAGTGCAGCTCCATTGAATTGTTCCTGAAAGCACAGCCAAAGGTCAAACAAGATTGCTAGTGACAGTGGAACGATACTAGATTTGGTAAGTGCATCCCTCTCTTCTTTTGGAAACGTAGGTCTTACGCATGGTACGTCTGATACCTCACATGTTGCAAATAGTTTAACGGCTGTAATTTAAAGTAAGTGGCTGAAGTTGTTCATCGCTGCTTGCCAGAGGTCAGGCTTCAGCTCTAAACACTCTGACCCAAGAGTCCAGCTTTCACAAGCATAAATTCCTGTGGCTGAGGGGGCAGGAGCTCATTTCTGAGGTTACAACGGGAGCAGGCCAAGGCTGCTGTGCTCACCCAGCCTCTGCAGAGCTTAACCTTTCGCAGCTGAGGCATGCCAAACACTGGGTGGTTCCCCCCATCCCCCCTTAGAAGTGTTTAAGAAAGTGTTATAAATGTTTTCCACAGCCATGCATTGACCACAATTTGGTCTTGCGGCCAGGGAGAACTGTTGCTTACAGTTACGGACAACAGAGTTTGACTAGCTGTAGCCTTCACCAATTTTTTCTTAGGTTTTTGGTTTTTTTAAATCCAGCCACTCTTTAACTCATGCAGGTGTGTTAGAAGACCTTTTCTCAAATAGGTTGTAATGTTTGTCGCAATATTAACAACAGGGGAAAAGCTACAGTGGGACAGTTTAATTTTTTTTTTTCCCCCTGGCACATGGCCTGTGTACCTCTCAGTGAGGTTTATGTGAAAAAAAAAATACAGGCTATATTGGGTCTGAGAGTGAGGGAGGCTCCTCTTGGGCCACGGCAGGCACAGTGCAGCATGCCGGTGGTAAGTCTTACCACAAAGCTGTCCTTTGCTTAAACACACGATGAAACAAACAAGATGGCCCTTCCTGGTGTAAAAGAACTGTTTTCTAATGCTAAGACTGTGATGTACCACATTGGCAGAGGGAACAGAGTCTCCTGTGACCTTTACCCAAGCCCCTGGCTGATGGCTAAAGCTTCCATGAATTCCCCTCGGAAAGGGGAGGGAGAGAAGGTTATAAAAGACCCTCCCAGCCAGCCAGGTGAAGGCCAGCTCACACACCCCTGTTCCCCCCCCACCCCGGCAAGGTTTGGGGGAAGTGGCCGTGCAGCACTGGCTTTTTAACCCAGGCCAGGAATAAGCTCTCAGGGCAAAGAGTCAGCATGCCTCTGCCTTTAGTGCGCTTAGCTGCCACCTCAGGCCTACAAAACGCGCCTCGTTGAGTCGTTACAGAACGCACAGGACTGCTTCTGAGCTGTGTGCTGGGACTCAGGCCCAACACCATTAACCCTCCACCCTTTGGCCCCACCAGAAAATTTCTCACCTATTGTGGGCTGTTTGTACTGTCCTACCTTTTTTGGCAAGATCTTTTAATGCTGTCAGCCTCTACACGTCCATTAGTGGAGATTATTGTTTATATGAAAATGCGATGGTATATTTGACAAAAACACAAGTCATAAATAAAGCTGCAATGAGGTAGTAAAAATGTTTTTTCTCCTCCTTTTTAGGCCAAAGCGAACACATTCCGTGGTTATCATCATAAAGTTGAAGTACAGGTGTCGCTGCTCAGTGGCAAGGATAAACTGTATAAAATAATTTAGTTTGGCTTTATGTAAAAGCATGTAATAAATTGCCTTGACATACTCTGCATAACTCGTCTGTTGCAAAAGTAGAAAAAGTAACAGCGAACCAGTTAGTGCTGCAGGATGGAGGCAAGTGCCATGCACTGGAGGGCAGCGGCTCAGCTCTGACCGGAAGGGATCTTAAAGCAGAATTATTACAGAGTAAACCTCTTTTCTGAGCAGGGACTCAGACATTCAGGCACTGCAGTCACACCTGACTGTTCCCAAACCTGCACAATATTCCTGCGTTGCAAAGAGTTGCCTCCCCTGTGAGTCTCTGAGCGTCCTGCGCTGTCCAAACTCCCGGTGGCTAGAGGGTATTACTAGGATCTCAGCTAAACAGTGAGGCATTCCTTGAGTCAGCAGCCCTTACAGAGACGGTGTCTGGGGCTGCTCGGTCCCTGCTCTATTTCAGCGTCGGAAGGAATGGTAAAGTTCGCTCACCGTAATTTGTTTTGGAAGTGGTTAGGTACCTCTGAGCAGAAGTTACAGCAAATGAAGCATCGCGTTATAGTATACAGAACAGTAATAAAACAACAGTATTGGCAATTAACCTAAGCCCAAGTGATTTAAGATCCTAATGCACAAAAGTCAGCACACGCTCTGTGTTTTATATCTAATACTGTGTCCCTCCTCTTTCCACACTTCTCTCGTGCTGTGTAAGCATTTGTGCAGCTGTTAGGGGTTCTGAAATACTTTCATAAAAATATAGCCCTAGCGTAACGAAAGGATTGCTCAGGACGCACGATAACGGATGATAAATTTTATTATGGGCAGAACAAAATGAACACGAGAAAACTGCCTTCCGCTCTCCCCGGTCCAAGTGTTCCAGGTGTGACCCCAAAAATCTAGCGTTGCAAGCAGTACCTGAGCAAACATGCCTTGAACATTCGCAGCATCACAAAGTGTAATATGCAGTACGTACTTTGAAGTAGAGAGGTTCACTGACATCTACTGTAACAGGAAAGAGGCAAGCCCTGACACAGACAGTTGGCAGCAAACACTCTCTCGCGCTGACCTTTCTAAATGTCAATTAGCAGTACAGCAGCCAGGGCTGTATCTGGAAGGCTCTTCAGGCACCTCCCTGAAGGGCTGCTTGTTCACAGAGATCGCATGCAACTTAGAAGGAAGGACCTGCTAAAGAACTGTCCGGCTTTAGTAAATGAAGACAGACAGTCACAGCCTTCACCTCAAGCAAGCAGAGCAGCGGTTGCTGCTTTTGAGACAGTCAGAAGCAGCATACAGGTCACTAATAAGCTGGTGCATCAAAGCTGCAAAATTGCATGGACGTACCAGCATTAAAGTTCTTGACAGTAAGTGCCGGGTTTCCAGTTTAATCTTCCAGCACTAAAATTGCTTAGATCAGAATTTACGGGGGAGAGAAGTCGCACTGGTTTTTGGACGCAGCAATTTAAAATCCCCATAAATGTGTACAATATGTACACAAAGTTAATATCTGTTACCAATAAATTCAGCCTCTTCTCCATTCATCCATGATATCGCCCCCCCACCCCCCCCTTCAAAGCACTGTTTGCCTGCACTTGAATTCCAGGATTTTTACATTTTAAAACTACTTACCATTTCTAGGCTACTTTTAAGAGACAGCAGCAAGAAAATCCAGGCAGTAACTACCACCATAGGGGGGGGAAAAAAGGAGCAAAACATGGAAAAGAATTGCAAGTTCCCCCCCTGTGAAATGCTCCCTCTACAGGGCAATAAGAGGAGGACGGGAGCTTGTGTGGCTGAAAATGCCAAGTCCAGCAGGGAACTAGAAGAAACTAGCTCCTGGCACAAACTCTAGCCTCACACACAGTAAGTAACAGCTCTGACAAGCTTTTTAATGAAGCTCCAGCCAGTCTAATGACTAGAAAAATCCCTTTCAAGGAATTAAACCACTGCCGCCTAACACAATTTGTACAAAACCAAATGACTAACTGCCACTTCATATATATAAATACATCAGTTTTCTATGGATTACAAAACATTCTGTGGTCTTGAAGACTGAAGTAGGCTTCCAGTATAAAGCGGAGCAAATAAACTCTGACCCGCTACATACTTTATGATTATGAGGAAGCCACCACTTTTTGGGGCAAAACACAATTCCTTGAGATAACAGCAACAAAAAAAATGATATAGCATGAACTGTAAAACCTCTTTAAACTGTGTTTGAGATTAGAATTTCTAGTAGGTGAAGAGCATTCAGACTTCATCCCTGCTTCCCTACTCTAACATAATATAGTGAAATGCCAGGTATATTATAACCACTTTTTCACATGCCCAAGGGGGAGAGGTGCCCAGACACAGCCCTAAACATTCTGTGGAGTTAGTGATCAGTACTGGGTATCTAAGTACTTGGAAATCAAATTCCTCCAGTTACTACATCAAGATAGAAAGTTCAGTTGCAGCCCTTAGGTTTGATCACCATTTTGTGGTCATCAAGTCACAGTGAATGTCTCTGACTGGAAGGTCAGAGATGTCTTAAGGCACTTCCATGCCTGCTGTGATGATCAAATCAGTGCAGGTCAGTTTTCACATCATGCACGCCTCAAAAAAGACCCTAACCACCACCTCCCAGACCCCTAAAATACAGAACTTTCACAGTTTTGTTTTGTTTTTTGGATTTTTGATATTGATGTGCATAGCAAGCCCGTGGCCAGAGAACTGAACTAAACAAATTCAGGTAGAAAGTGTTTGTTGGCATACTATCTGGGCTTCTTACACCTGGCACTGAAGTAGCACAGTTGAGCCAGATTGTCAAAAAGCAGCAGGAAAAAGGGAAATGGTATTTCAAGTGCAGCCACACACGAGGACTAAAAACGCTCCCATTTTGCTTTCAGAGAACCTTTGCTTAACAGCAGCATGCCTTCAAGCAACACACCTGAGGAAGAGAACTTTCCTGACTTGTACCCACAGACACACGCACGCACACACTCGACTCTCTTTGGGGCTGCCTGGTCTCACTGCTTCCTGAATTTGCCTGGGCACACTCTAGGGCTACTTACTTTCTGTGCAACTCCCAAAGCGGTTCTCCCCAGCACAAGCTGAGGTCTGAGAGCAAGTAGATTTTTCAACTAGGAAGGCTCCAAGTGTTCATTTTTAGTCACTAGACACTGTAAACACTATAAAGCAGCCTCCTCCTCTGACCTCCACAAAACACAGGCCAGTGTTTTCTCTGCAAATTCCCCTTTGACGACTCCAGAGATGAACAACAGCTACAGCAATTTTTTGGTCACCGTCGCCTGCAGCGCGCATCCTACAAGGGGCTGGTCGAATACTGCTGGATGAGTTGCTCGTGACACGGGTTGCAGACACGCTCAGGGTTAATGCTAGACGGGAGGGGCAGTTCATGGGCTGAACAGGCTTCACAGAAGATACCGCTGCAGTTCTTGCAGATGTTCTGAAAGGGAGGAAGAGGGCAGAAAAATTAAAGGGGATGCCCAAGACAAAACACACACACAAACAATACAAAGAAACTTGATTTTGTCTTATTAACATTCAGTTAATCCAAATCTTCTACTGGACTGGAGAAAGATGCTCAAAAGTTTCACTCTTGCCCCCTCTGAAGACTAAGTTTGCTCCTTCGCTCAGGGACCAGGCTATGGCAAAGCTTATTACACCGGAGAAGGGTAGGTGAAGACTTGTAGTAAAGTTACCAACACTTAACCATTCAAATTTTAATCGACTCAGTCTAGTTACAACTTAGAGCTAGAGCGTTTTGTCACAGCAGATGCACATGTATATTTGTCAGCCATATAAACATACTGGCATGGCAGGTCTTACTTTAGATGTACATATAAACATGCACACGCATTTGGAAATCTATCAAAGGCGGGTATAAAACTGGCATTTGCACCACTATTATCTGATGCGTTTTCTGAACACGAACGGGGAAGACTACAAATCCTATGCCGAGTTCCCATGCACTTAACAGAAGTTCCGAGGGTGACTAAGTGGGGCAACGTGCCACCCCCTCACCACCTTTTTTTCTGAGCATCATCATACTGCAGCATTTGGGAGGGAAGGGCCGGGTCCTGAACGTAACCAGGAAGGCCATCTGCGCAGGCGATGCACAGCGGGCTGCCTCGGGAGCCCTTGTTTTCCCTGGCAAAAATCACTCGTCACTGGACGCGCTTCGGCGAGAGGCAGAACTGCCAACGCAGCGGGAGCTGGGAGTCCCTGCCTTGGAGCAGGGCAAGCCCCCACCTGCCAGTTGCCAGGAGCGTGCACCCGTGCGAGGCTCAAAGCTTCTCGGTCCTGCTGCCCTCAGATCCGTAACCTCACCGCGCTCCCAGTCCCTGCCAGCCCCCTCCAAGTTTAGGCAAAAAAGTGTCCCCAGGACCTATCTGGAGCCAAGGTACAGGCTGATCTCTACTGATCCACCAGGTCCAAGGGTCAGAGTACTGGCCGCCTTGTGCCAGAGGAGCCGGTATCACTGGTGCCGCCTGCAAGGACCGCTCCCCTCCTCCTGCCCGCCTGTTGTCAGGGCTCCCAGTGAGACCCTTCTGGTTCAGGTCTTGGCACATAACCTGGAGGAAAACGCACCCACACTACGCTTTCTAGTGTAGTTAACCCTAGAGTAATTGCCGCAGCGTGACCAGAACAGCTGCTGCACTCACAGCGGTTTTATCAGCACCTTGGCTAAATGCTGAGGCGTTTTTGTGAAAACTGCTCCGGCTGCTCGGTGCCCGGGGAAGAGCGCTGGGAGGAAGGCAGCGCAGCCGCTGAACACCCTGTCTGTAACTCTTCCAGTGAGGACACAAAGAGGGGCTTAGCCACAAACAAGGGTAAAATGAACGTGACTTTTGTGAAAAAGGAGCAAGGCAAGAGAAAAAGCCAAAATGGTTAAAGTGGAGAAATAACAGGTTTTAGCACCCTCCTGTTCTCACTTCTGATTGACTCCAAACAAAACCACCTAGCCAAAAACAGCAGGGAGGAAGCTGGAAAGGGGAAGGAAAAGCAAAACACCGAACAGGCTCGGGGACCTTCAAGTCTCCACTGTTCCTGAGGTTTGTCTTAACAGTAAAGCGAGCATCAGAAAAGGGGCAGTTTCTTTATCTCAAGTCACTAGGAGATGACTTGCGCTATTTGTCATCTTTTTCAAAATGAAAATCAGAGGAAATGCCTACATTCACCACACGCCTGAGATGACAACACAAGCCTTAAGAGTCACCTTTTTTTTGCTTCGGCTGCTTTCTTCCTGGCAGAGTTGGCAGAGCTGGGCATTTCCAGGTCCTGACATCTGCTCCTAAACCCAGGACAAAAGCAGAGACATTGAGCTGTGTTTTACGTGCCTTCTTTACATGGCACCTATATTACGGCTCTGCAGCCAATCCTCATCTCACAGCTGGGCAGTCATTTCACATCCTTGTGTTTTTAACCCTTCTTCCTTTGCAACGCACCACACAACCCACAGGAGCAACATGCATTTGCAGGAACATTTACAGTTGCACTGGCTACACCATGTGCTACAATCAGAAGAGTGACTACAGGTCTCTCTGTTCCTGTCTCTTATTAAGTCAAATTTTATGTGACCAAAATCAAGTACAAGACGTGAGCTCTGCAGAGCATCTCTGGCACGGGAAGAGAGCCGGACGCTTCGACAGCAGCAGGCAGAGCAGCCCACTCCCCCAAGGGTCAGGGCAGAGCAGGAAGCAAAGCACGGCTGCGTGAACCAACAACGACGCAGCTTCATTTTCAGGCGTAGACAGTGGCTGTTTTTCCCAGCAACAAGGGGAAAAACAAAACATTTTTTTTCACCATGAACAAGAACTGACAGCTGCAGAAATCGCCAATGGACCCAATGGGAGCGTCACAGCATCCTATGCACAGTCAGTGGCAGTTCACCAGGCACCCAGGGGAGAAAGACTGGACTCTGGTAAAGTTTGAATCTTACCTCTCGCCTGCACAGCGACTAGTGAAACCCTAGTGCAGCCCAAGGAGGCTAAAACACTGCCATTTTAACTGTATTTTTACTTCCATTGTTCTTTTTAGAGGCTACAACCCAAAAAAGATGTGGGGCAAAGGAATGATAAAGAGGATGAATATTTGTTTAGAACAAACACACAAAAAACCAGCAGTTGTGCTGAGGAGGCAAAACGAACTCGCGTAGGTGCAGCACTGCCAACTAAACACTTTTCTATTAAGATAAGCGATGCTTTTCCTCCCAAGGAGGATTACTGCTAAGGACTCTACAGACAAATCCTCGTGATAGCAAAACCTAAAGGATAAACTTCAGGGCACACGGGCCAAGGAAGGTGCTGCACTAATCTGTAAGCTCCCTCCATACGCTTGCCCTTCAGCATTTCAAAGCAAGGAAACATATCACCAACCTGCTCTTCCTGTATGCCACTCTGCAACCTACAAGAGAAGAACACCATCACTTGGAGTGACTGCTCCAGCCACCACTCCATTGAAGAAATCGTCTGCAGTATCAGAAGATTTCCTCAGCCCATTTTTTGAATTCTACCCATACTGATTTTTGTTTCTTCAAAACCATGCTGCCAACTCTGCTGGCACACTAGAGAGGAAACGTCCATAAGCTTCATCAGACAGCAAAGCAGAGGTGTATGTAGCGTGCTATACAATAAATGTTATCAGCTTAGACGTGTAGCACTCACAGTTGAAGGGGAAGAGCAGGAGAAAAACTTGTGAAATGATGGCAGAAGAGCAGAAAAAAAGAAGCAAGAGTATGGGGAAAACATTTAGAGGGTACATGCACAATTCTAAACTTTTTAGCTTTATACAAGTGGCTGCAAAGTATTTATCCCCTAGATCTTCTGTGAACAGGCAATGATAACCTTAAGTTATGAAACCTTCCAAATAAATCTGCAGACAGAAACATATAATGCTTCTGCAGTCAAGGTGAAACAGGGAGGGGAAAAAGCATCAAAGGCCTGGAAGACATTTAATATCCAGTAAAGCAGATTTGATTTGAGCTTATGCTATTTTTAAGACAACACATTGCTGATTACCTTTAAATTGGTATTCAGCACGCCATGCCACAGCATTGCGTTTCTTCCACTGACATTCAGAGTACTTCAAATGTTCCTCACCATCTCTGAGCAAAGTCCTCATTACAGAGCTGTTCCCTATAGTTTTTAGAACATCTTTCCACACTAAAAACAGATCTTAAACTTAGCTTTCAAAGTCTGAAGATACCTTATGACACATATTCTTTTCCGCAAAATTCAGTTTAGAAACATACTACCTGAACTATGTTTTTTTACACAATCCCATTCTTGACATGTCATTTCAAGTAGTTCCTCCTCCTCCTCAGCCTTTATTCTTGTCCAGAAGCCACTATGTATTATTCTCCACCACCCTACTCTCAACTGTCAACAACCCTTCCCCTGTACCCTACTGACAGAAGGCATCTTCTTTGAATGGTAGTATCAAAGGTCCAGCCAGGTTTGATTTGTGAATCTTCATTAGACAAGAAAAAATAGGAAAGCCCCTAGATTTACACAGAAACAAATTCAGAGGTCAAAAGACAGAGCTCTTCTGCTCCAGAAACCTTGAGGGCAAGCAGTAGACCCTGCTTCTTCCCTTAGAGAGCTACAAAGACACAGCAAAGAGGCCTCGACATTGGGCACAAAGCTGAAAATCTTTCTTAGACAGGAGAAAAATCACTATTCTAAACTTCTCAACCAGCAGCAAAGAAATTAGAGAAGGGCGAGCAGGACGTAGAAAAAGACAGAAGGGAAAAATGAGGTATCTCTTCTTCCATACTTGTGTGGCAGGATACTGTTTTCCTCTCTTGGTAGTTGTTTCTGTTTAGCATTTTCTTCCTGCATTTTGAGCTTCCCATCCTGCCAAAAGGAAACATTTACCAGTCAGTCAAACTATACGAACAGACTCCAGTTTCATCTCCGTCATGCTGCTCACAGTGCAGAGGGAAACATCCCAATATTTAGTGAATACTCATCTCATTGGCCCTCCTTGGCACGGAGGCTTATTTGGACACGCGAAAGCATATGAGCACCAACGCACCCCCAGGAGCAGGCTGCTTGCTCGCCTTTTGCTGTGAACAAAACTACTGAGGGACATACGGAAGTTGGTTTCACATTTTGGAGATGGAATCTTAGAAACATCCTATGGTCTCCTTTTACTAAGGAAGGGGAAACTTAATGGTCACTTTTTTTTTTTTTTTCTCCTCAGCAAAAGCCGAAAAGGTAAACTGGCTTAACAGGCTTTTTAAAAAACTTAGTGAGACAAATCCTCTCAGCTAGAAAAAGAAATACATTCTCCTCTCCTGCTCCCCCGATAAGAACTGGGCCATAGCCCAAGCCATACACATAACACTGCTTTGTAACACGACTATGTCAAAAACAGCCTCCTGCCTGCATGGTAAGCCCTGACAGAGCCTCCCATGCATGCAAGTACTGCTCTGAACTTGTGATTATGACTTCAGTCGAACCCGTAAATCTCTGCGAATGCAAACGTCCTCGAGACCAAAACTCGAGGCAAAAGAGAAATCCGTTCTAAACCATTTTTCTCCATATTGGCCCTTTGTTCCTAGCGGGAGCGCTCGCTCTTACAGCGGCGCTCGCCTACTGAGTAAAGGAGGATAAACCCTGAAGTATCTGCTTCTCACATCCAATGACACGCTGGCACAGTCAGTGAAGAAAAGCAACTATTGTGCCTTCTAATCAATTTTTGTTTAGAAGATCAGACTACTCAGGTTTTTTACTGGTCAACTGCATCGCATATGGACCCCGATACCGTCTGTTGAATTATAGCTGTTCTGTTGCAATAAACATGGCATTTTTGATAAATGAGTCAGAATCAGGATGCATTAAGCAACTAAACAGAAATTATCGGTGATACTGTTTTTAAAAAAAAAAAAAAAAAAAAAAACTGAACCATTCAAGCAGCTTTCCACACGAAGCCAAGCGTGACAGAAGCAGCCCAGGGCAGCCCAGTGAAGTTAAGTCACAAGCGCAGCAACGCACGTGGGAATTTTTGAAACAACGTCTATTACTTCGCTGCCCTCGTATTTATGAGTTTTGCTCTCAGAAATAGCTGTTTTACTGCCGCTTCCCACCAAAAGAACCTGTTTCATTTCACAGAAAAAGCCAAAGAGCAAATTTTCACTTTCAAAGCCAATTTTACTTCTAAAAAGGGAGTTTCACTTGAGGACAATCAGTTTTACTCTTGAGAGAAACACTGCATTATGCTTTAAAAACGCTGAATTCACCAATGCTGAAAGAACACTGAAAACGATCTGTGGTGCCCTCAAAAGATAACTGCTTGCTGAGGAGTTTTACTATTTAACTGTTCCAGGAGATCAGTGTTAACATGATGTTTAAGAAAAAAAAGGGGGGGGGGGGGGGGAGCACAAGTTTACTTTTCATCAGATGTAACAAGTACAGCATCTCTCCTGCCACATCACACTTAGTTTTATTAAACTAGCACAAGAAAAATACTGCCACGAAGCTGCAAGCTACCCAGACTGGAAGAGGAAACCCATGTTCTGCAGTTGAGTGTATTGCTCTAAATATTTTTGTGGGGCTCAGTCAAATAAAATGCCTATTTAGGGTGTGCATGAACTAAACCAGAAATGTTTCAAAGCTCATCTTGGTGCTGCACTTTAACAAAACATATCCATTGCTTAATAAAACCCAAGAAAAGAGACCAAGCAAAATCAAACTATACTTAAATACAAGCAAAGGCAACAAAAACTCATATTACCACTCTTGACCAATTCTTCGGGCAGCCTTTTTTGTTTTCCTGGCTACTCTGGTGACTGTGCGACCATCTGTCTCTTTCCCGCTTCAGTTCTAGTTCAAGCTGGCTCCTGTAATATTGAGGTGGAATTGTGAATAAAGGCTACACTTTTACTCCGATCAACAAAGAGCCTACGTTATATGAACTATTTAACTCTTTCCTCATGCCAAAGGGATTGAGCCCCAATTAAGGAGCTAAAAGCTGCCTCGTAGTAAAAAGCTGTCTCCTAACCTGTTAAACCACAATATGCTGGGATGCAGAATTTAAAAATTCCTAGTCTAGGAGAAATTCCTAGTCTAGGAATTCCTAGTCACAATTTCACGAGGGATACAGCTGTCCACTAAGTCTGTGGGCCCTTGGAAATGACCTAGATATTCACTGACTATAGTCGTGTTAATTGGTGCCCTTTCAAAAAGGCATTCCCTGACAGGTAAACTGCTACAAGACTGGCTGGGAAACCAAAGGCAACAGCCTCAACCATTTCTCAAAGCTATCCGCTCAGGGAGAAAAATCTTCCCCCAGAGCTGCTGCAATTCTTCTGACAGCTCGCCTGAAAGCTGGGCCCGGTTCTGGGAGAGCAACTGAGGGCTCAGACCGAGGGTCCTCACCAGGAGCACCCTGCAGCCTGCGCTGCTGTTCAGGCTGGGCGAGCGATGGGACGCGAGCAGGTGAGCACCGGGGCTTTGAATAGGAGAGGCAAGCCCAGCGGGCCGGCAACACAACGCATGTGCTGCTTTATGGCTTGCAGTCAACACACTGCTCTAGGCTAATCTGCAAGGAAGAGGTGCCCCTTTGAGACTGCTACGTAGCCAGGGCACCGATCCACAGAGGCACGGCTGCCGAGGCTTTTGGGGCAGTCCCACGTGGAGCGTGCGGTGGTAAATCAAGCTGGAGGAAACAAAGACATGGCTGAGGGCCACATATTCATATTTGGGAGACAAACGGATCAGCAGGTCAAGGACAGACGAGCAAGCGCATCTGAAGTCCCTGACACAGTCTGAGGCAGGCCTAAGGGAAGCACGACTCAAAACCTAGCTAGGGACTGCAGACCCTTAACTCAGGACGTACGGTCTTGAGCCACGGCAGCTCACTCCCTGACAGAAGGCTGGGAGCAAACTAGCCGCAGTTTGACACCAGCAAGCTCAGCAGCTCCGCGACTGTCGCCTGCCAAGGCACAAGAGCAACAACGCTCTAGAGCGCACGCACAGGCAGGGACTGAAGGGCCAGAAAACCTATTTTTGAATTCTTTACAAGTGGACAGAAACATGGTAGGCTCCAAAATCAAAAGCTACAGACTGAAAAATCAGCTTATAAACGTAGGGGCGAGACTTGTACTGTAAAAGGTCTAGAATCTTCCTTTCATTCAAAAAAATCATTATCCATTATTATCCTCATTAGTGTCAATAGCTCTCTGACAGTTTTTTTAAAATAAAGTGTTAATAAAGTGACTATAGGCTCATTAATTAGATGGCCCAGGTGAAGTGAGGAAAGCTGTGGAAACTTGGATCCAGAAATTAACCTGGATCACGTGTGCATTCAAAAACAAACTAGGCAGGAAAATCTTATTTAAAACTTGATAGAAAAAACACATACAAAAAACCATTTCCTCTTAAAGCAACACAATTCAAGTTAGCCTGCTCACCGCCCACGGCAGTATCTCTAATACCTCCCTGTTTCAGAAACCTCGGGTAAGAAAAGCAGTACAGCTCCTGGAAAGGAGGCTCACTCATTTTCATACTGCCACCTTGATCTAGCATGAGTGAAAAAGGAATGAGTGAAAGCCAAACCAATGCAAAACACATACTCATCTGCAAGTGTGCTCCCCAGACAGTTGCACTAATTCAGCTAAACTGACTTAGTGCAAGATGCATATGCAGAGAAGACACTTCCCTTTTATATCTGGTAAAACTAAGCTCATCCAATTCCATACTTTTAGGTCCAATTTAACATAACTGAAGGTTACTTTTTCACATGTGGACATGCAAAACAGCAAGCTTGTAGAAACACGTACGTATACGCCATCCATGCGCATACCTGGAACCTGACACGAATTTCTGATAAAAACTATTTAGCAGCTTTGTGGGTAGCCTCTCCTACTCTTTCTCTTTTAAGTATCTGCCACAAGGAGATAAGGAGAGGAGGAAGGGGGAAAAAAAAAAAAAAAAACTGAGGCAGGAGGGGGGAAAAAAGATGCATTCAGCAATGCTTTCATACAATTCATCCTAGTGACCTTGCTACAAAACAGGGATGCGTCATGTCTGCAGAACGAGAGATGCTCTTCTATTTTAAGATAAGAGGATTTCTATTTTCCTGATGTTGGTAAACTGATGACACTGCAGGGGAAAATTTGATAGCTCTTGCTAAGTTTTCTAACCTTTGGCTTCCAACTTTTCAGTTGTTTGCCAGCAAAACAGAAATTGGTTTTGACTAGAAAAGACACAGTGCTGTTTGTCAGGCTGACAATCAGCCTCGCTCCAAAACTCCTGCGTGCTCCTATAACAGCGTTGGCTCCAGGCAAAGACTTAGCTGGTATATCGCTGCTTGCTGATGAGCGAAAGGCAAATTGTTTGCTTTTACTATTTGCTTCAGAGCCTAAATTATGCTATTAGGGCAAAAAGCCCGGTGTACAGCTAGACTTCGGAGAGGTCTACGTTGCAGTCAAAGGCCTGTCTGCTCTTTTGAGACGCCCGTCCAACGAATTTCCGTTGCCTAGAGCAAGCTAACCTGCAACACAGACCTCAGCGCAAGCCAACGATCTGCTGAGCTTCCCAGACAGGCTTGGCAGCTTGTTTCTCTCCCTCCTCCAACCCCTTCCTACTTTTGGGATTGTCCTGCCAGTTTTATATGACACATAGGAAGAACAGCCCCGCAAACAGATTAGAAAAGGATCTCTTCACCGCTGCCTGGAGAGCTCTTCCACTTCTAGCTGCAGGCTGTTGATTTTGTCCCCAAATTCCTGCTTGAAGAGACGGTTGTCCTGCTCAGCCAACTGACGGTCCTTCTCTGCCTGTCGCAATCTGGATTTGAGCCACATGAACTTGTGATAAAAAACAAAACCATGGTGGGGAGGAAGACCGAGTTTAAACAACAAATAAAAAAACCCAGTGAAAAGGAAAAGCCAAAAAAAAAAGGGATGGTAAAAACAATGGGAAGGAGAAAAATATTCTAAAGAAAAGTAAAATGCAGGTGAACCAGGCAGAAGCTCTGATTTTCAATGTTTTTTATTCTATTACTACAGTTTACAGCCATTAGATGAAAAACATAAAACATCACTTCTATCCAAATTCAAAGCAAACCTCAAGTACACAGAATTTTAAGTCAAATTTGATTTTAATGTACGTTACATTTCAGCTTTACACATGTAACTGGAACTCGCAACATAGGTTAGCTATTATATTTAGAATTAGTGCATTTTCCTGGTCTCTTCCACAGACTATCGCATTGGATCAAGTGCCCGGGCATTAGCATACCAAAGCATCTCTGCTTTGGACGCGACATCAGAAACTGCCAGATACTTAACTCTTATCTTATTTTAGAATTGCCGTGACAGCAAACAAAACCAGCCCAAACCACCATTTCTACAAATGAAATTTGAGGAAGGGCAGGGGAGTTAACTGTCCTAACTAGCTATTTGGATACCTTGATGAAAGCTTTCATCTTTTTCAGGAAGTTAAAATGCATTTATAGTAAAAGATTACCGAAGATTAAGTTTATACTTTCAAACATGCGACTTGGAGATCACTGAAAGACTCAAATGCAGTCTCCCAAGTCTGCTTGTGCAGGAGTCAATTAGACAAGCTAAGCAGTGATACACGCTTGGGTATAGGAGGACTAGGCTGATTTTTACATGTACCTAAATGAGAATTCAATACGTTTTTTCTTCCCCAGTTGCATTACAGTCACGTTTGCCTCCCAGCACCCCAGAGAGCACTCTTTGATAGGACAAAGGAGGAGCTGGCCTCTAAGAATGTTTACGAGCACCTCATCAGAGCAAAAAGACCCTTATTCAACACAGGAAAAAAAAACCAAATATCATTTTGTTGAAGCAAAATATTTCTAGGAGCAGTTATAACCTAAAGCCTGTGAGGGGCCAGCACGGTGAACTCTTGCGGCCACTGGGAAGAAGATATTCATTTACAATAGTTCAAGCTACGGTTATTTGAAGTTTTGCACTGGGGTGTTAAGTTGACGATGATTTTTCCTATTCAGAGCTTTTTCCAAGCTTTAGCTGTTCTTTCAGTAGCAAATTCCGTATTTGTATCAAGCAACAGAAACTTAGAAACAAATGTAACAAGTATAATAGCAAAAGGCAACTCTTCCCCTTAAACCACTAACTACTCAGACAAGGAATGGTCAAGTACCAAATTACTGGTCCCACTCCCCACCACTGCACTTTTTTTTTTTCTTTTCCTTTTTTTTTTTTTTTTTAAACACTAGAGTATAAAGATCAGAATATTTTTGTAAAATGCGTAACTTCCCTTTCTAGGAAGAGGAAAGACCTATCAAAACACCTCTCCTCATCTTCCTTCAGTCAGGAAGAACTGCAACGTATTTCTAGAGGGATTCATGGCAGAGGTAGAAGGCAATGCAAAGAGAAGGAGGTTTTCACTGAACTTACCACTCTATCATATTACTCTAAGACACCTAGCTACTAATTCTGGACACATGAAGTTTAAAGGAATAAGGATAATTTCCCCACCATCCCACCAAGTCACTAAGGCAAAATCGTTGCAAGCAGTCTTGGTTAAAAGAAGGCTGGCTGGTCTTCACCCGACGAGCTACCGAGAGGCGCCCATTTGTCTTTGACTTGGGGGTAAACCCACAGAACAGAAGTGAATGGGTAACAGTTTGGGGTACGCACACAACTACTTTCAACAACTTCCAGGGATGCATTTTCTCGTCTACTTCACAAAAAGGGTAACACAGATAACTAGTTGGCTTTCCAGAGCTGGCCAATCAGATATTGGCTTGAACAACGCATCTAGTATCCATAAATGTCGAAGACTTGTGCTGCTGTATACAGTATGCATCACAGGGATGTACAGAGCCACTTATCTCCCATTCCTTACGCTTTTCTGATGTGTTTATTGGCCAGCTCATTGATAGTTTAACAGTTTAAATGGCAAAGTTAGGGATTTTTATACCCAATTCTAAATCTCTGAAGAAAAACTCACTGATTTTAAAAATTCAGCAAATTTCAAATCAACTTTAGGAGACAATTAACATTTAAACAGTAATTCTCAAGTTCTTCCCTCATAAATGAGTTCTGATGTCAGAGCTGTGAGGCGACCAGACATAAAAATGCCTAATGATGCTTCTGGATCAGTTTGTTTGCTGCACTATTTAAGGTTTTTGCCTGTTTCACCAAATCCTTTTCACTGTACGATTAAGTCAGAATGAGGACGATGAGGAAATGAAAAAAGAAAGAACAGCGAGAGAAAAAGAGCAAATCGATCAGCTGAACAGGTATCATAATACGATTTAAAATACAAAGTTTCTTCAAACAAAATGACTTATTTGGTAAGGAATCATTCAGAACACAATCCCTAAGATGAAATAACTAGTTTAGTGCATTCAACTATTCATTACCTATATCTCAGAAAAAAAATACGTTACTGAGACCTAAGCGTTCCTCCTGATTTTGCTTGGAGCTAGCACTATAGTCCCATTTCCAGACAATTAAGTTCTGAACCTTACGCCAAATAACTGCAAGGCTCGGATTCAAGAACAAGAAAAAAAAAAAGAGGAAAAAAAGGAACACTGCTGCCTCTCAAATCAATTTGACTTTGTTGCTGCAGTCTTCCTAATTACAAGAAGGTTAGCAACAGGAGAGCAACATGGCCGTTAAGACAGAAAATGTCCCAGTCCAAACGGATATTATACCTACTGGCTATCTTCATCAGTTTCTAGTGACAGTCAAGCCTCCCTATCACTCTTCCTTGATCTAGTTTCACGGGAGTTTTTTTCAAGCTCAGCTTCCCCAGAAAGTACACGGCTCAGACTGTCCGGCTGCTGACAAAATTTGGGTATTTTGTCAAAACAGTGCCAAAGTGATCTGGCATAACCAAGCATCTCCGAGATCTGTCTCTGTTGCAACACTTGTCCTTCCTGCTCCCACTGTACTACTGTCATTAACAGACAAGCACTTCTCTAAACTCATATCTTTCTTTTTATCAGTGCCATCAGAGATGCTGGTCGACTTGTAAATGACTGGATAACAAATATGCAGCTCGCGTAGGTGAACAAAGGTTCTACAATAAATACTGTTTTACTAGTGTATTCTTTTTAATGAAAGGCTTGCTGAGCACGCAATACACTTCTAACAGCATCTCATGAAACTGTTGCTAAGAAACGCAGCCCTGCTCTCCTTTAGGTAGCTCTGTTTAGCGGTGGCTAAACTGTGCACTGTCTCTCACCTGTAACGGTATTAGCCTTGCTTGCACTCAAGTCAGTAGGAATTCTAGCAGACAAATAGAGCAGGGCCCTTCAAACTAAACAGCTAAATTAAACAAAACCTGTCTACTTTCTCAGGAGTATCACTCCATTTGTCTGTAACATTCATGTAAAATTGAAGTAGAAAGTTTCTAATAAAAAATAATCAATATAGTTGCCTGAAAAAACAAACAAACAAACAAGCAGCACACACTGGGCCTCTAGAACATGCACACAATTTTATGATTGCAAAAGTTTCATTTTTTACCTTTGTTCAAGCTGTTTGATGGTAGCCGCCATCTGATTTGTTTTTTCTTCCAAACGGCTATTTAATTCACTCTTCTGTTTCGCTCCCATGTCTGAACTCTGTAAAGAACGTTGCATCACATCTTTTGCAAGTAGCAGTAAACCCAAAATAAGCCACAATAAATCACTTGGCAAATGAAATGAAATGGGCAAAAGCCATCAAGACATGAGAAGGTGCTCCAAAAAGCAAGCACCAGATCATTAACTGCAAGAGGAAACACCATCTCCGATACAGACTACATCCGGACCCCACAGAAGGGAAACGCCATGATGTTCAGCTTGTTACATAATATCTATTAATGCAGTACCTGCTCCTATCATTCAACTGCTTTGCACAGAACGATTGGCTCAGGGAAAGCAGAAACAACTTTGTCGTGTTCTAAATTTAATTTTAGTATCGCTAGACATTACACGTTCTTCCTCAAGAGTCTCCTTTTGTCAGTTCCACAGTAACATATAAAATGCCACCATATACATTAAAATACTAGACTGTACTGGAATAGAAGCAGTCACAGGTCAAATTTTACATCTCAAAAACCAGAATATGCTTTCCCCAACAGAAAACACCCACTTCCAGATCGTGAGGCTTTCTTCAGAGCAAGCTGCGTTCTTTTGACATTCCATAGGACCAACTGTTAAAGCGCTCCAGTTTTCTGTCTGGTCCCGTAGCACCTTGTACCTTCTGTACCTAACCATAAGACATCCCAGAGATTACAGAGCACGTATGCAGGCTGCAAAGCAATCTGAACCAAGTGCCACAATCCCTGCAGTTTAATCGCTTGGCTTCACCCTGGACAAAGAAGCTCGCGGGCTGTGAAAGTGATCATCTGCACCAGCACAGAAGTAAAACCAGGCAGAAAGGGAGAGTGCCCCAGCAGAGCTTCTCAAAAAGGATCTGGAAAAGACCCAACTCTCTGTGCTCTAGCACGCAAAGAAAGGAACCAACATGGAACTATTGAACACATATCAGTCAGTCATGCAAGCCTTTGAAAAACCACTGAAACAAAGAGCTGCCCACTACTGAGACACCCTCCCAAACAACTCCTACACTGCATGTAGTTTCCTACACTGGGGAAAATTCTAACCTTTCTGTAACAGCTTACATACTGTCACTGAAACAGACACCTCTGAAGGTAACCTGTACGGGAAAATGGCGTTCCCTCTTCATCTATCGTATTATTTTCATCTTCCTTTTTGGTTTAGAAACTTGAAAAAGGCAAAAAGGTTACGAGTCCATATGTCATTACGGAAATTGTATCTTTCCTGAAGTTTCCTGCCCAAATCACATTTAATCTGAAGTTAAGAACGCCAGTCCTAATGCGAGCAACAAATAGAATGAAACGTGGAAAAAAGTCGGTGGATAGGGAAAAGTCTGAAACTGCTGCATGACAGAAGTAAGTTATACAGCCTGGCACCCTTCCGTGGCGAGTATCTGCTAACCAGAGGAAAAAAGACAAAGCGCAGGAGGCAACACTTTTACTAGGGATTCACTGCATTTGATTTCATTCTTTTCCTACCTGCAGCTTGAAAGACAGTTCATGCTTTAGGGCCCTGAGATCATCCAGTTGCTGTCTGAGCGCCACCAGCGCATCTTGCTTCTCGCAAACATCCTTCTCCAGCATCTTCATGGCTAACTCCATCTCCTGTCTCATCCCGATCTGCACCTCCAGCTCTTTCTCCACATCCTGAAACATGCACAGCAGTCAGCGTTTCCAACTAGCTTTTTTCACCATCAGTGTGATAACCCTTGTACTCCTGTCAATGCAAGTCACCACCCAGAAGCATGCTGCATTGCCAACATCACAGCTACAGATCAGACACATCAAAGGCAATTAAGGACAACAAATCCACAATTTCAGTCAAACATTAAAGCAATGTAAACAGCACTACTAGCAGTGAGTCACAAAGTCCTACTTGGGCCCATCTTTCTGACAAAGTGAAAAGTTTGCAGACTTATTTCCTGAAAATGTTGTGCTCAAGCATTTTTCTCCCCACCAACTGAACACGCTATATTGAATTGAACGCGCTATACTGAATAAACAGTTCAGATAATGTCAATAATCCGTCTGTGCAAGAGGGATACCTACAACCTAAAAACTCAAGCGCACTGCTCATTTTGAGGAACAGACCTCAAATTGGTCAACCCAGTCACAAAATCAACATCACTTCTGACAGACTGTCTCAGATCAGCCTGAAGCAGGGCACACTGAAAAGAAAGTAATTCCCTGGCCAAACCTTTTCAAAAGTGATTGACTCTGGGTAATTACATTAAAAAGCCATTTTGTAGCGAGTGCCAAGCTCCCATTGCCCTTACCAGCCGCAGCTGAGTCTCCTCCTTTAACTGTTTTCGTGCCTCAGTCAGTGCATGTCCATCTGCAGTTCTGTCTTTAGTGACCTAAGGTAAGGAAGGAATCCAATTAGCCCATCGTTACATACTATTAATCCTCCTATGCGCTGACCATCTTCTTTTCCCAGCTTGGAAAACAAATTCCACAGCTATCAGAGCTCAGCAGCTTCATTCAGTTAATGCACCGTGCAACTTTCTTGTGACGTAACGTATTTATTTCCCTGTAATTTATTTTCCCTGTCTGAATAGCATTTCAGCCCTAAAAAGCAGAACTCCTACTTGCTTAAGTTTTCTGCCAGCCTCCCAGTAAGTCATCCTTACTTCTGCCCCCTCTGACACGTCCATACAGCAAGCCATGGACATGCTGTGTTAGCCATCAGCTCTGCACATGCTCATGGTTTAATCAGCTACTGCCAGGCAGGATGTACTATGGGCCGGGTCCATCTGTTGCCCTCTGTGAAGCACCCAGCTGGAGTCACTCTTTTCTGTTGCCCTTTTTCGAGAGATACATAAGGAAATGAAGTCTCCGTGAAAGACCTCCTCCCAGTTAAATTTGAGCTGGGACTGCTCAGTGGGTTCAGGAATCACAGACACACCAACCTTACGATTGGACTCCAAGATGTAAGAACTTTCTTCTTTAACCCGTTCCATCTCCTCCTGCAGTGTAATAATCCTGTTGTTTGCAACAGCAAGCTGTGAACAAAACAGAACAACGGTTTTGCATCAAAAACTTATTTCACAGAATTTTTTTTCTCTAGATTATTTCAGTAAGTACTCGTTTGTTCACGTTCCAGGTGAGGTGGGGGTTTTTTTGCCTCCCTATGGAGGCAGGCTACCTTAAAAAAAGGTATCATTTAGTGCCAGTGTGGTGGCTTTCCATTATCAGCCAAAACTGAGACTTTCCAACTAGATTCTGTTTAACAGGTGGTTAGCACAGATCTACAGAAATCTTCACTTCATTCCTCCTCCCTTGCCAGCAATAACAAAATGGAGATACGTGAGGAACACGGCAGCTAACTTTTGTTGACTTTAGCAACAGAAATAAACGACCGCAGAAGAAACACTTGCGCGGGTTTGCTAAAGCTCCACTAGTTTGGATACATGACTAGTTGGAGCACCTGAATTGAGGTGTGTAATCACTTGGGCAAGACACAGCAAGAAGCACTACTAGGACATCATCAGAAGAGGAAAATTTGGCTTGAAACTGAGGGCGAGAAGCACACACCACCCACAGGAGATGGGACAGGATTTCCTGAGGAAAACCTCACCTCAGACCAACAGACTACTTGGAGTGTACGGTCAAAGGCCAAAATAACTTTGAAATTTTTTGTCTGGGTTTCTAAATTGTAACCTACATAAATCTTGCAGACAAAAAAGCTCACTGACATTCTAAGAGACCAGTAACATTATTAAATGACAAACCCAAATAAAAACTACCCTGACATGAGTGAGAGTCTTAGGTACAGCTCATGCCAAATACACAAATTGATGTGACACGTGTCACAACTCATTAAGTACACTAACTGTAATTAGTGGTAACAGTCAATATAATTTCTTGGCTGCTCAGTTATTCCAGTTGCATCCGAAAACAGCCATGACTAAGCATATCCAAATTCTGAAAACAAATTCTCACATACCTTTTTAATCCTTGATTCCAAAGGGTCAAAATATTAGATCCTTTTTCACTTACCTCCTCAGTCAGTTTAGTGTTGGATTTTTCTAAAGCATCCACCTTTGCCTGGAGGTTGTTTACTGTAGCACTGTTAAAGAGAAAAAAAAACAAAACTCTACAGTACTTACTGCTTCATTTTTTTCAAGTCTGCTTTCTATTATGTTATACTATATAACAACAATAAAAAAAACCCCATATATTACCTTAAGTGTCTATTGAGTTCTTCTACATAGTTCTTCTGGTCCAAAATAGCAGTTATCTGACCATCTCTGGGAAAAAAAGAAGCAACGTTCAGCTCACCCTGAGTGTACTTCTTCCATACCTACGGACTCTGACTGCACGGTGTTTCTGGAGGCCCCGGGCAGAACCGCAGGCCTGCTGTACCACACAGGAAGATGACAATATAGAGAAAAGTCGACCTCAAGTCCCCCAGCCAGCTTTTACCAAAGATGTAAGCTCTACCCTGGCCATCCTGGTCATCCCTAGTAGTGTGCGTTCCTGGCTTGGCTTCCTACTCACCGCAGGATACAGGTGAGCTGTCACCGAATGCTTACACCGTTTGGATTCAAAGAACTAAGACGTTGTTCAAGGTTTAAGAAGAAACATGGAAGTACAGCCTACGTATCCAGCTTAGCACTGAGCATACTGGGTCCAGATGAGCCTGTGACACGCATGAAATAGCGAAGCTGAGCTACAGTCTATGCCTTTACAATCGGTGACAGTTCTCACACTTCTGAGAAGTTGCAACTACTTCATTCATCCGGACAACATTCAGGCATTTTGTGACACGCTAAACAGAACAGCAAGGCATACAACATTTCAATTAGCACAACAGCATTCCAGCGAAAAAAACACTGTTCTTTATAGCACATTTATATCCAACACGAGTCATCCAAAATCCACTCAACAAAAACTGTCAACAAGTGCATGTGTTGCATGCGTTTCCAGCAGGAAATCTTTAAACTAAAGAAAAGCATATTCTAATAATAAAATAATAGATTTAAAAATGCAAGCAAAATACCTGATCCTGAGGGATAATGGTAAAAGAATATATCTATATTCAAATGAGTAGAACTTCCTAAGAAAGAAGTAGTACTCCTAAAGAACCTCAGATAACCAGAACACCAGATCTATATGCCAGTGTACCCATGCTGTATTTTTCAACCTCTTGTTCTGAATGTTACACAGCTAAATCTGTGTATGCTGGCACCAGGTCACTTATTGGGACTCTTATTACAATTACAGTCACTTCTGACTGGAGAATTTATTTCTAAGGATGCTATGGTACTGAAAATCAACTCCTATCTTGTTAGCCATGCAACCGTTACAGGCTACTGAACTGTTTACTGAAAAGGCTTTAAAGAATAGCAGACCTAACTCAGCAGAAGGTCACTTTTAAACTATTTTCATGTCAAACAGCCAGTTAAGGAAGAACATCCAAAACTTTCCGAGAGACTTTCCTTCCCCTCCCCCCGCCAATACTTCCAGCATCTTATTTCTATGTTATGGTTTACCAAAAAAGAGCAAGTCACTCTAAGAAGCATTTGACTGAAAAAAGCAATAGCTTGCAGAACAACTTGCATACTTGAATACAAGTTACCATAGGGTAAGACGGAAAACAGTCGTGCTTGCGCTTACCCCTCATTGCCTTTTGTGCTGTTCCCATCTTTCAAATACATTGAAAAATCAATAACTCCAACCTAGAAGAGAAAATGTTGGCATTTTACATGAAAAGCTTTTCCTAAGACTAAACACTCTTCATACCCCTGAACACGAAGGGTCATTCATTAAAAACATCAGTGCATGTTTTATTATAATAAGGATTCATTATACCAGTAATCTATCCAGAACAAATGAAAAATTGGACTAGCTCAGGTAAAAATGTACTAGGAGAAACAGCAAGTTGGCCAGCAAGTCTCAGGGGATAAGGACAACATTTTGTCACCAATACACCCATATACACACCGCCTAGGCAAGCTGAAACAGAAGTGCTGATTGGCCTATTTTCTTTTGGTTCACAGATACGTGATTTCATAACGTGCCATGAGTGAATTAATATTTCTGCCTATCTCCTCCCTCTTTTTGTCTGTTCCTCTATTCCACATTTGACTCCACAGTGACTGCATTCAGACCACAGCAAAGCACAGCAGCAAAGAGAACTGAGGAGTAGGCTTTTGGGTAGGGCATTAAGAAATGACAGTTTAAGAGAGCAGAGGCAATAGGACTCTTTGTGCTACTGCCAGCCAGACCACTACTATACAAAAAGTAGCAGGGGAAAGTGTGCTGTTAGCACTCAAGTCAGAAGAAACGCTACATTACGTGCCTGAGATGAGTACAGCAGATTTATTTCCACTGGCAAAAACTAAGCTGAAGGGAGTCGTTAGAAAAACTAAAGCCTGAACCTCTGATCTCAGCACTGCCAGCTAACTGAAGAATGCAATCGTAGTAACAAGCTTTTATTAGTCTTACATTGCTAACAGTAACAAACTTTTATCTCAGTTGAATAAAGTCCTCTACAGTGGAAAACTGATCTGATTTACATGAGCAGAAAAAACACTACACTGAATACCCAGTACCTGTGAATCCAGGTCTTCTCCTTTCATGCAAAAGTTTGCATCGATGACATTCAACCCTACTAGGAGGCCAGCAATGATAGCACCTTCTTCTTCCATCATGAGTGCATTAGGCTCATAAAATTCACTGCAGGATGCACAGCAAGAGAAGAGAAAGCATTGCATCTTTAAAAGTCAGCTAGAGTGAAGTAAAGCTTATGGATAAATTAGCACAAGCACATATCCACTTCGTTGCTATGCCTGCTTTTCATACAACAGTATAATGCAAGTTCATGCTTAATAAAAAGCCATGCAACGACACGTAATTCACACGGAAATGTACTCCTGTGTACTATCAACATACTCCTGCTTTAATTGAAGGGCCCAGAACAGATACCTCTTAGCACACTATGCCTTTAGATGGGGCAAAGGGCCAAGAAGCAGGAGACCCGGACTCTTAACTGTTGAGAAACAACGAAAACTAAACATGATTTTTGAGTAACGTTACAGAGAAGTGAAGATTTAAGACTGTGGCTTAATGTCAGAGGTGTATAAGTTGCACGCTTTTACTACTCTACTACAAACTTCTGTAACACAAGCCACCTCCACGTTTTCCAGTGGACAACACAAAGTTCTCCTTTTCACCCAAAGTCAGTTATGGATTTGCATGAACAGCCAACAAAAATGTACTTATCTGAGTAAAGAAACACCCACATATATAATAAGCACTACCACTTCACACAGACAGTGACTCTCATCCATAGAGTTTCAACTGATCTGCAAAGTTATTGCTGTTTTATAAATACAATAGAGTTGCAGAGAAGTGACATGACTTGTTCCAAGTCAGATAGCGAGTAAGTGAAAAGGTCAAAAATAAATCCAGGCCTAAGATGTTTCAAACAAAGAACGCCGTACTCTCTCTGTACAAACATGTCACTAAATCACCCCTTTGGAACAAAACTTTGCATTTGTTGTACTGGATGCTTGAGATGACAAAAACTGGAGAAATGACAGCTTCTGACTAAATAAAGAATACTAAGCATTTCTCATCCCTCAGCAAGCTCTAGATTTCCAACACTGCCACTCAGAAAAAAAGTACACATATACTATCATTGAGGCACAAAAGATCCTAAAAATCGTATAAGAGGGCACAAGTAAACTAAGCTAACTTGAGAGACAGTAGCGCTCACCTGAGAAGATCCTTCCTGTTAATCAAGGCTTTCATGTATTCTGAAAGTTTCTTCTGCATTAGAGCCAGACGAAGCCAAGCTCTTCCTCTACCCACAGGTGTCCTACAAAGACCAGAAACAAGTTACGTACTGTAGCGCGCGTTAACAAACAGCTCTAACAGTCCCGCTCTATCTGAAGTTTCTGCAGTCTACCTCATCTCAAAGACACAGCCCTCACCGATGGAAAGAGGGAAATACAGGGTACGTAAGTGAAAATAGCTACAGACAGGTTTGTTTAAGCAATCATTGCTTCTCTCATAACTCATTATCTATTTGTCATTATACTAATATTTCCCTCACTCTCCCCCTGTTGGACGCTACTATATAGACAGAGATCAGCTCCCTGCATAAAATACCTTCCGATTCAAATTCAGTTTTGCGTAAGGCAAGTCAGAAGAACATGTGTAAATTTCAATACAACACAGTGTCCAAGCACCACTCCTTCAAGTAGGCGTTAAGCCTGGTGAGAATCCACAGAGACATCCGAAAATACCAATTCAGTAGCTGTCTTAGAAGTATTTTGCTCATTAACACACTTATAGGATATAATAAGTTATAGTCACAGTCTCTCCCCCTCTGTCTCTCCTGGCAATTGGAAGCACACAGCTTTAAAAATATGAGAATTGATATGCTGCAACACAGCTCTGGCATGCCGGCCAGGAGCCAGTACCAGATGCTCCAAAGGAAGGTGCAAATCCCCCATATTGAGCAGTACTACTATTAGAAGGAAATTTCTTTTCAACCTCCAGCAGTCACCTATCTTACACTAAGCAGCATGTGGAACACTCCATTTTCTGATCTTAGCTAGTATAAGCAGCAATTGCCCACAGAAGTCATCCGCGTCATTAGCCAGTGTGTTCGTGTGTTCTTGACCTCAAGAACGCATGACGCTTCATTTACAAACAGCTAGTATGCATACAAGGCTGAGTTTTTAAGACTTAAAAAAGATAGCTCTAGAATATTATTTTATTTAACATTCCTGTATTCTTTTTTTTAACAGGAAAGGGTAACAGGAGGTCTGGCATGAGCGCACTAGCACTGCATGTTAGTCCTGTAAGTTGTTCCAGGCAGAGTCTGGCACAGCCCTCCAGTAAAAGCACTTGTCCATATATACACGGTTAAACATTAAGCTGACAAAAACCTTCTCTGCTTTTTTTTTTCTGTTGTTCCACTTATTCATCTCCTCTTTGAGCAAAGGCAACTTAATCTTTAGTCTGCCCCTCATAGAAAAGCCTCCTTAAGCTTCTTTTTCTCTCTCCCCATTCCCCATGCTGAAAACCTTTGCTCTTACAGTGTCTTTTTAGAACTTGAACAAGCAAACCTGGATGCAATGTATGAGATGACTATGCAATTCTTAGAAGCAACGTAATTTCAGAAGGTTTTACCCCTCTTTAACATAACCTACCATCTTCTTCGCCTTCGTGAGTTAGCCTTCCTCTTGCACAAACTTTTCCAGTTTAACTGCATATATTTAAAAGAGAAAACGACCTCTAGATATCTAATGCTCCAAAATCAGGCTCAAAAGCATCTAACCTGTGATGACCTTCTCTTCAATCTGACTTCAGCAAGGGAGTCAGTAAAAGCTGTTCCTGTTCACAAGACACATCATCACTCACTTAGTGCTGGCAATAAACATACCACTGCCTGTAAGCCCCCTTGTTCTTAATACAGAAGGAAAATATCCTTCCTCTCCTTCTGCAGTTCCTTAATTAAAAGAGTGTCATCCACTTGTATCAGCAGAAGATGGCAGATGGATTCCTGAAGATTTTTTGTCCTTCCTTCTCTTCTTTAGGATCATTCTTACAAGAAAACCATACTACATACTTGCGCAGTATAAGGCCATACTCACTTCAGCCCTGGGAGATCCTTAACACTTGCTGTGATCTCTGCAGCTTCAGGAACAAGCTTTTCCACCAGTTCCAGAGGTCCCCAGAATGACTTGTTTTGCCCAAGAAAACTCTTTTTTGCTGGTTTCCACAAAAAAAATTGTTTTTTGGGGGGGGGGGGGGAATAAAAAAGACATAAAAGTCCTTTCAGGCTGTGCTAACTAAATACACTCTCAAGCACATTCAGAATTGAAATAACAGTAGAAAAAAAAAATAAATCACTGGAAAGAGTCTTCTGGGGCTGTCCCCTGCACAAGTAAAATAGATGACTTTTTACGGCCAAATGTAGGAATTACAAGTAAGGCAACAGAAGCTTGACATAAATACCAGACAGTATGTTATACATCCCAAAAATTGCAAAACAACAACATCCAGTGATAACCAGCAACTTAGATTCACTACTGGAGGCCAAAATTTCTACCAGGGTGCTGTCACTGTCTCTGAGCTATACGTAGTGTGCGCACCATAGTTTTCCCTCACTGAACATCACCTTACATGAAAAATAAACAAACCACCTTTAACTTCCTCCTCCTCCATAGCTTTCAGGGTGTTATCTGTCCATCCTCTCCTCCCTCAGAAAAGCTTTCTAGAGACCCCCAGAAACTAACACTTGCTTCTTTAATAGTTTTATTGCTACTTCGCAGCAGCAGTAAGAACACTGAAAACAGTTAACCTCAAACTTATGACCAGTAGTAAGGACGCTGATGAATAGACAGACACCAGCAGCACTAAGAGTATGAACACCCCTCCCTCGCATAATGTTACCTTCACTATCGCGAGAATCGCTTCTTCAGCGGGCAATGCTGAACACAGCTACTAAAGAAGCGCTGCAAGATGTACCTAAGAATGCTGAAAGGGAATTTAATCTCCTCCACACCACTTTTCATCTCAAGCTACCATCATGCAAGTGCAGCAAGTCAAGAAAGGTGGTGCAGTACTTAGCAATTTCAGTTTTGACTTCGTATTATACAGTTAAACATACGCTCTGCTTGCAGTTTTAGAGAGCAGCTAAGACGACGTTAGCTGCACAATGCCAAAATCTGCAATTCTGACAGAAGTACTGAGAAAGGGTGCCAGTGTTGCAGTTTCTTTCTCTGCAAGAGAAATATTAAGCTACTAATGCAGGAAGGGCAGAAAAAAGGGAGACATGCATTTGCTGAGCAGGCTATTTCATCACCAAACACTTCATTATAGTCATAACAACTGAAAAGTTGTTTTAAAAATGAAAACAGCTGCAAAACCATAAACATTTCACCCGCATTGTTACACCTCCAGCAGATTTTTCAGATTTTGTGTTCCATCCAGCCAGCTGTGATCAAATGCAGTGATCCTGTTTGGCCTTTCCTTAAGTCTACCGTAGATTTAAAAACCAGATTTTTAAAACAAGATTGATCTTTCTCACTCCTACACTATCACAAACATCCCAGGAGGACTCCTCTTAAACCACGTTACCTTTCAAGCCGTGTTTAAGGCAATGCTCCATCACAACGAAGAACTGCTGAAGAGGTGCATAGTCAGAGTCCAGTGTTCTGCCTAGATTAAGTGCTGATTCAATCAACCCCTTTATACTCAGTTTCGCCATGTTCATCAGGTTCATGCGTTCATTAGCCATGAGATAGTTAGGATCTATAAGAAACAGAAGAAAGACGCTGTTGAGTAACAAAAGCTATTTTTAATACTATAAGACCTCCCGTCTCTCTCTCTCTCTTTCGTCCCCCAACTTTGAAGACATTTACAGCAGCAGCAACACTTTGATGTGAGGCACTCTCTTCAGGCTTTTTGTTGAGACCACCAAAATAAACTAGTGCTTTAAGGTGAAAGCCATTCCAAAATGGGAATAGATGATTTATCACTCTGAGGGTGCCTCAATACTGAGAATAAACTACAGACACTTGAAGTTTTGAAGAAAGAATTCTTTTAAGACAGACATTAATATTGCACTTAACATCTGAGAACGCGTTACTGAACGTTACGGCTGTCTCTTGCTCTAACTCAAATCCTCAGCTATGTCCAGCAACTACAAACCAATAGAATTCACCTGTGATTTGTGCTTCAGTCAAAAGATAATCGTTAATTCTCTCAAGTTTAACTCATCAATATACGTCTCTATCCAGTCTCCCATCTTTACTCAGAATGATTTGTTTTTAGGTTGGACGTAACACAGAGCCAACTTCCACCCATCTCTTCATTTTATCAACAGTATTGATGTATTCTACTGCTGATAATAGGGAGCTGATCTTCATGGTTCTGCCAACACCTCTTTCTTATTGACATACATAGATCTTTTCCAATGCTATGTTTTTCCTCTGTCGCATCATGCCACATAAGAATTCAGATATCTGTATACCTGATAGATGCTTTTCACTGCAAGAAACAAGTACAGACATCCATTTCCCAAATTACACCCTGTTCTGCAGGCCTCCCATGCTCTGACTTCTCTGGCCCAGTCTAAGATGCTAATGCAAACACCTATTCTTACAGTGCCTCTCTTCTCAAACACCATCAGTGCACTTCCAACACCTCAAGAAACCTTATATTCAAGCTTTAGGCCTAGAGATATATAGTAATATAGACAAATCCTTGCTGTTCAAATACAGCGTCGCATCGGTTGCATGTTTTCTATCTGCATCTGTTCCACCTACAATCTCGCATCCAGTTTTTGAGCTAGAAGTTCCTTGGTGCAAGCAGTTCCTCCTTTTAATGCATGTTCATTCCATGGCTGCTGCTGTGGATCCTTTAACTAATTTATCACCTTTCCCGGTGAATTTTACTAAACCTAACAGCAGAAACATGACCAAAGGACCTCTAAGAGTGCACAACTAAGCATAGTATAGACATCTAAGCTGCCATATTGACACACAGCATGCTTGTGTTTAGCAAGCGAGTAAAGCAAATAAATACTTGAGGGATGAAATCCTTCTATTAGAACAAGAGGAAATATATTTACACTTAAAACGCAGAGGAACACACTATCTAAGTTGGACAAGAGATGCCATAGAAGTAACTAGAAACCTAAGCAGTGGAGTTTGAATGTCTATTCCTGCTCGTTCTGTGGACTACCCTCACCCACACCTACCTAACAACTCTTGCCACTTTTGGCTGCTCTCAAGCTCTTTTCTGATTGTTTGGAGGCTCCGTCTCTTCAACATACGGACAGCTTAGACAAGTTCCTATGTCTCTCCTGGAAACATCAGTCATTGCCAAGGAAGATCAAAAAAACGCAACCTCCCGCCTCAGTGGATCCACTCCCAAGTTGGATTCTTGCAGTAGTGTGAGTTTTTCTTCAGCACATTTGCCGCTGAGCGGAGATCAAATCTCTGTTAGGCAGGTTGACTTGAGCTGTTTGGGTGGGCCACAGCTCTCTTACACCCCCTTGTCAACAGAAGTCTGAAGAACAATTTCTCATGACTTAAAATGCAATAACTTGCCAAAAGGCAACGAGGGACATCTGAGACTACTGCAGTCTCCTGTAGGACGCGCCCTGTGCCACTCAATTGCTCAGATATGGATAAATACAGATTCCTTATCACCTCAAATGTACCACCACTAAGATGAGGCATCTTCTCAGCACCCAGTATCCACAAGGAGAGGGCAAGGAGCAAAACTTCACAAAATTATAGAATTACTAGAAATCACATCAATCCCACTTACAACCTTGGTTATCTCATGCAGGCTGGGCAGCACTGCAGGCCCAGCAGCCTGTAGCTGCTACAAGCAATAGTAAAGTAACCTGTGATTTAATCCAAAACAAGCAACGAGAAGAGCCGCTACTGCTGTGGGACCGAGAATCCCTAAACCAGACAAAAGTAGCCAAGGAAAGGCACCTCAGGGTTGGGAAGGGAAAAGCAGCCACCAAAGCGGAGCCATACCCAGCCTCAAAGAACCTGAGAGACATAGAAGCGAATCAGAACAGAGAATTTGTGAAGCCTTTGAATAAAGGGAAATTTGCTGAATCTACCTGTGAAGTATGCCACGTTCAGGTTCCCACGGCTCCAAGGCTGGCCGGCCAACAAGCTGGTGAGGTCTTATTATAATAAGGACCAAACATCACTGCTTCGTTTTGTATGGCTGTACACACATAGAGTACGGCCAGAATACAGACTGTGTTTATAACGGAGGCTAACTGCTCAGATGAATGCTCAGCTCTATTGCAACAGTGCTAACAACACTCAGCTACCCCTCATAAAAGCCAAAGGCTGTAAAACAATCCACAGTCCAGGGAGAGCTTCCGGTCAAAGCAGCCATCACCATTCACATCCTGATACCATGGGTACATTTGTTCAGTCTGTTGAAGAGCAGGTTAGGACAAAGCCTCTTTTCTCCCCTTTCTTCTCCAGGATGAAGCAGTACCAGAAGTCTCCTTCCCTGAATTTCACTGGAACCATCTTGACAGCTCCTCTATGGAACAGCCCGTACTGTTAGCAGCAGGCTCTGAAAGGGAAGGTCTCTGTTGGAGAGGGGAAGCATGCAAGAGATGCTAAGCAATACCATATGGAACTGCCGCACACGGTGACTATCAGCAGTCACTGCTCTAACCACACTCATGGCCACATCGGCTGCTGTGGAAAAGCACCAAAAAGTCCAGCTGTTCTACTGCATCTCCACCCAGTCTTCATCCGCTACGGGACTTCAAGTGATCAAAACTCCTTCTGAATTGTATTTGACTAAATGTAAACTTTTCAAGTACTGACTCTCTTAGTTCCCAGCTTCTGAAAAGACTGCAATTAAGAATTTGCGATTTATTTTCATAGTTCAGACAATTTCCAACTGGAAACTTTCCAACCAGACTGGTTTTGAAATGCAATTCTCACAGTAGAGCGGGATTGTAGAAGGATTTAATTTAGTGGGTGCTCTTTATTGCCTTTGCAGAACTACTACTGCTTTACACTGTTGGATTTGGCACATATATTGAGTAGATGACTAATTTTGTGATTTGCCATCCACTTCATGATTTGCAAGGTAGCTAAGAGAACAATCACTGTCGGGAGAAATTCAGGAATAGAGGAAAAAATAGACATAATGCAGAATGAATTAAAAAACATAGTTCTCACACATACAATTAAGAGAGACTTAATACTACTGAATATTTTCTTCTGTGTACTTCTGGATAATGCTTATGAACAATACCTCACACGGCATCCATCATAGTTGCCCTTTAAGGGTACAGGAACATCAAGACAGTATTAGTGAGAAAGTGCTCCTACCACAGACACAGCTGTAGTCCCAAAGCTGTGCTCTGCTTGGCTAGAATGATGCAAAGACTTTTTTCCTCTACTGGCCAGGGTCCTTCGGCAGCACTCTCATAAGTAACAAAGCACTACCAAAGTGCAGAGCTCTCATAGTCCTGCTCTCTAAAGAGCTCATTGATCATATCAGTGAGGAGTAGCAAGACAGTCATCCAAAGTGATTCTGTTTACAAGACAAATCAATTGCTAAAGAAAAATTAAAGAAACCGTACAAGACCACTACGTGGGAAATGTTGCTTAGGCTATAGTTATTAGCTAGTTTGAATTATGATAGAGTCCAAGGACACTGCTCAGAATTAGGGTCCCACTCCATTAGATAACCACAAGAAACCATATGCTTTTCTTAGAACAGTGATGGCTGCTGCCCTACACAGACCCACACTGACGTCAAGGACACGATATGCTTTTTGAGGCAAGAAGTATAGCTTTCCATGAATCTGAGAGATGTGCAACAGTCACGTGTCAACCGGGGTCAATATTATACTAATTAAAAGAAACTACTAGGAGTAACAGATATGCATATGAAGTATGCTCAAGATAGCCAGAGATTCTTTCAACACTTCTAAAGGATAAGAGCTAATGAACAAATCTGAGCTGATGAAAGCACACTCGGGAAAAAAAAAAAAAAAAAAAGATAAAGCAGAACTATGCTTTTATTTAAGACTAATATGTGCAGTCACGGCCTAAAGAACTAAAATATCAAATCACTGAAAAATATTTTAAGTTACCTAATTAAAGGCTTCTGCTTCATTAGCGTGTTGTGAATGAAAGTACTCTGCATATGCAATTCATCCAAGACTCACTCTGCATATGCAATTCATCCAAGACTCTTGTTTTGCAAACAAATAACTGTCATACAGCATGAAACTGGATAAAATCCCAAAGATTTATTCCAAAAATAAAATCCTAAATAGTGTATACCCTTGCTATATGTGCTACAACATATACATCTTCAACATTTAGCCTAAAAAAGCAGGCCAGGCAAGGAAAGATGACTTTCACACAGTAAGACTATTCAGCTTGCTTTAAGTCAACCCAGTCGTTTTCTGCTTTGACAGTCTGACCCTGATTTGAAATTCAAATACTGTTTCAGCCAATACTTTCTGTAGCCTTCTAACTGTAAAAAGCTCTGTGTTTTACTACACATGCCACGTAGTAAACCTTAAGAGTGAAATCTCGACCCTTAAATTTTGCCTTTCAATTTCATTGGGATATTCCAATTTAAGTTACCTTAGACATATATCAAGGTGATTTTATTATCTAAAAAATGAAGCTTCTACAGAACAGACCTTTTTCTAGTCAGCAGCACTTACATTTTAACATTGGATACTAATCATAATGAGCAAACTGAACTTGCCTCCCACTACAATGACAATTATAAAAGAATCAGCTAATCTTACTGTTTCCGTAAAACAATGAGCTTCCAAGTTTCTGAACATTTAAAACCATGCCCTAATCATTCAGACACTAACAGCAGCAAGGCCAAAGCATTCCTGAGAAACTTCCATAAAGGAGAAAACATTTCCAAAATATCTGAGAATCTCAAGAACGTGCAACTTCGTTTTAAATGTAATATACATACCTAGGAACCTGCAAGTCAAGGGAAAAAGTCAATGCACTACTGGATCTCAAAGGATCAAGCTGTGACTGTACTGTAAGTACTTCTCACCTAGCAATGATAACTTTTTTCCCCTCCTCATATTAAATTCACTTTAAAAAATTAAGAAAAAATGGAAATAAAACTAGAAATCAAATGCTGAGATTCATGACACACTGTCAACGTGAGCAAATCTGCTCGCAGTCATGCCAATTAATTAGTACTTCAATGAAGTTCTACCTATACTAAATCCATCTTAAATCAAGAATCCAAACTTCAAGTGATTTAAAATTTAGGAAGGCCACTTCTGTGTACGGCAGAAAAATAATATCTTGCAAACAGTTTATACTATACTCAGATCAACAGAAGTATGTAATAGTGAATCATTTGTTTTCAAAACAAACCAGCCAGATATCTATAGTACACTAAGTTTCAGTCAGGCAAATTCACTTACCAAAAAAACATGCTAGCTCTAGCTGCTCAGACTGTGAACGCATGTATAATGCCAAAGACATGTGGAAACCAAATCCCTAGAGAAACCGAGAGCTTTCATTATTTTAACTGTCTTCTCCTTAGCCTCTGTTCTGCCACATCACACAACGCAGAAGGTGAGAAAACTCCTTTGAAAAAGCTGAAGCTGACTCTCCGCAAATCATCGAACAAGGGTCCAAAAGCAGCAGCACCACGTGCAGTCTCCTCTCAGAATAACTTGTTTATTCTGCCTCCTGCCGGCCGAAGGTCCTGAGCCTGCCTCCCTAGAATTCACACCAGCACAGCGTCTGCAGCAGAATCATCAGCGAGCTGAACTACAGCCAAGGAGGATCTCACATGAGTGAGAAAGGGGGCAATTTTATCTTGCCACAAGTCCCAGAGAGCATCAAGAATTACCATCCTTGTCATAAATGCTGCAGAGGGGTACAGACAACAGCACATCATCTGCCCCTGTGCAGTCTGGTAACCGAGTTCAAACTGATGTAAGTGGGTCTCTGCTAACACACTAGCTTACGAGCCAAGGTAACTAAGATGTGGCATGTGCTCTGCGGGCAGCTGTTTCCAGCTGAATGGCATGCAACAGATGGCAGACATTTCTCTCTCCCCCAGCTATCACCAGAACTATCTGCTTCTTGCATGTGATCCAGAGCCCTTCATTCATGATAGGCCAATGAGCTAAAGCAAACTAAGGCTATTTTAATGCTGCGCAAAGAAACAAACAGGAGTTTAACATCCTTACATATTTTAACTCCCCATACATCAGTTGAAGCTTTCCTGACCTTCCCTTGCATTCAAATGCTTTTCTGACATTCCCTTGCATTCAAATGCTTTATCTTCTTTCCAATAATGCAAGCCCCTGACTACCATTTCAAGAAAGAGGCAACATGTATTTTGCATATCACACACAAACTCTCTCAAAGGTAAGTAGTGATGAAAAGAAAAACAACATAGTTTAAGCAGCAAAACTGATTTTTGTGCACAACAGACCCACTTGAAAAGATTTGTACTACCTGAATTTGCAAATATAAACACAAAGACATTTTGCAGCATCATGGCTGACTTTGCTTTTTTCTCCAGCAGGAAACATGCTTAAACCTCTTCACATGGGAAGGCTTTAAGCCAGCCCTACTCTAGCTGTATTACTTGGCCTCCGTTACCATCAGTTATTAGTCCGGTAATAATCACAATTACATACTTTAAGTCAGTTTTTTCCACTCACACTGTTGCTCATACTTTATTTTCTATTTATAACCCTGAGTCCACAAAGTAAATGTGCTTCGCTTATTTTCACTGTTTTGTTTTACAAAGTTTTACATTGAACTTGCTCATCTCTGCTATAAAGAAAAAAATGTAGGATTTGATTAACATTCTACCAGTGAGAATTAGACCAAAAGCAAACAAAACACTGGTAAGCGAGTATGGTATCTGCAGGCGACATCACCTTCCAACATACTCAGTGCACAAGTGGCCAAAAGAGCTGAGATGCATCAGTTGACCTTATTCCTTCAGGGTTACCAATACGGAAATAACAGGACTTGCGCTCCTAAGTCTCCTGGACCTTGACAGCCCTAGCTTTAGCTTCTATATTGACATCACCATTTTGAAAGAATTTGCTCTGTATAAATAAAGGCTCCTAAATATTATCCTTCTCATCCCCCTCTTGCCTCCAAAAGGTATATAAACCTTTTGTGCCGCAAAACATACTAACCGCAAGCATGAACAGTTGTATTGAGTCATCAAATTATAAAATTACTGGAATGCAAGCTGAATCTAAGATTCATAGATTTGCTTACATCCTTTTGAAGAATCAAGTAAGAAGCATTATAAAATATTTTTCATTTAGTACTTCACAAAATTTGCAATACAAGTTTTAAAGCCACTTTTGCAAAGTCTCATCTCCATAAATAGAAATACTTCAGAAAATCTGAAGCTTTGAGGGTTTTTTTTAATTTGTTATTTCAAACTTAGCTTATATATAACTTTGAACATTCTAAGTTGTGTTTAAGTTAGGCTCAGGAAAATAATATTCTCAGAACGTGTTTAATGCAAGAAAATTAGCCTCCTATTTATTCCTTTTTACTATCTTTAAGTCAATCTGCTCAAAATTCATAATACAATTTTTTAAGCAATATTGTTTGTGAGTACGCACACATTTCAAAAAGCAAGCAATAACAGTAAGATTTCAAAATCAAGGTTGATTAGATGGAACCCATGACAGGTTGGATAAAACTTAGAAACACAAAGCCTTCACACTATTCATTTCAAAAGGAAACGAATGAAATTGCACAAGTAATACATACACTTGAGTAATCAAAGACATTTTCTTTAACATGCTAACAGTAGAAGCCAAATATCCACATGGGAGTGCAACTCGTACAGCATGTTCTGGCTGTAAACCCGGTTCAACCAGACAAGCACGTTTGCAAAGCCACAGCTATTAGCACTGGAAAGGAAAACTGTATCTTGCACTCATGCTCAAAATAGTAAGTCAAAAGCCAATCATTAGCGGAAATAATAGCTGAAAGATGTTGGTGTGGCACGCACCTTCAGTATCATCACGCATTTGCTCCACCACATCTGTCAAATCCTCCCAAGAGTCTTTGCAAACAGCAAAAAGAAAGGAAAAGAAAGAAAACGTCATGCAAGCCATGATCGAAAGGAAAGATTCAAAATCAAGGTATAAGAAAAGGATAACTGAAAGGGAGATTTGTATAATATAAGACTCAATTCACATTGGCAAGAGATTTGCAAGTCAAAAGGATTTATTAGTCTGCACAAAGCAATACAGCAAAGCTGTTTTTTTTCCTCAAGAAACAAATTAAGGTAGGTTTAAATAAAGCTTGATTAGTTTTGTTCGTTTTTCTGCATTAAGACAAGCAACATTTTCGTAAAACACATCCTAAAAAGAAAAGCAAGAAATGCATTATTTCGTTCATAAGATCAAAGCACTAAACTGTTGATATTTATGCAACATCAGCATTTGCTTCAGCTTCCTCCGACTCAAAAAGAACCCCGAAAGGACAGGGAAATACAACTACAAATGAAAAGCAAGCCCTACAAGCATTGCATGTTTCACAAGAAAGACATATCGAAGACATAAATCAGGTTAAACTGAGCAGAAGTGATCCAACTTAGCCTGGACGTGGGTCACAGGATTTATGTATTTATGTCGTTATTCCAACGAGGACTGACTAAGGCCTTGCTAAGGAAAACATCTCTTCCTACCTGCTGGGTGCGTGCAGATGGCTGGCGGGCAAGGGGGAGGAAGCAGATATCCTGGGAGAGAAGCAGGCAGGAGAGAGAAAATTCGTTTCAGCACGCCCAGCAATTCCCTGGTTTTGAACTCTCGAAACAAAGCATGACGAAGCCCCGGAGGGTCTGAACCCTGCATCATTTTCAAGTCCCTACTTACGCGCCTGCTCTCCCCAACACCAATTTGCAATCCGTTCAATGTCTGAAGCACAAGAAAGTCTTTATTCCTCTTTACAGAAAAACTGTGGCAAAGTACTGAGCAAAGTACACATAGTATTGGGACCTCCTCCCTCCCACAGAAAAGCTATCACCAGCCTCCTCCCCCATAGGAGCAAAAGTTAGCCAACAACTAGCATATACACAGTCACTGCACTTAAAGGGGGAAAAAAAAATCTTCCTGTTATTCTGATTAATAACCCAACCGATCCCCAAAAACTTTATAGGCTGCATTATCACCCACACTTTCCTCATCCTTTCAAACTGTTTTATTCAAACTAGCCAATTTTTAGAAATTATTTTTGCATCAGTTTTCTGTATAAACCAGACGTGCGCTTCTCCTATGGCAAACATTTGCAAATAATGGGACAGTAGAAAATGACTATTTACTGTATCCTGCTCATATACCCGGGGTTAAATCAATCACCTATTTTCAGTTCGGCAAGGATTTCTCCTCCCCTTGTCAGGGTGAAGAGGGAGGGTGAGTACAGGCAGGTTTACCTACCTTTGCTTCCTAAGAAGCAACGGGAGTATTTTGCTCGAGAGACTTCCCGCTGTTGCAAGAACAAAGCACTGGTGATGCTCCCCACCTTTCCCTAGCTTCCCCCACACGTTACACTTATGGCCTTTCATGTATATGGTCTCCTATTACAGGTGTTAAAGCTTTCCACAGTTTCAGAAAACTCTTCATAGCTCATAGTGCAGTGGGGACTGAGGAGATTTTTCTTGCACTTTTCTGGACTTCTACTGCCTTCTTGCTTTGAGTGCAAGAAACTTGACTCCATGACTCATGGGTCCTTTGTTAGGAATCAAAAGGACTGGTATTTGCTATTTGTAGAAAATGCTTTGCATAGCAAAACTATATAAACAAACTAATATAGCTAGTGTTTTCCAATCTGAAATTGAATCAAGTGAGAATCTAGCTGCACATGCAATGACTTAATAGCGTTTTCATCACATGCAAAGATCGGAACCAGACTCTGATAACCTCAGAATCCCTACCTGCGTACTGCGATTGAGGGCAAACATCATCGGTAAACGGTCTCTCATAAAATATTCAATATTTCTTTATCTAAAGGGTTAAATGACAATCAGAATCTCACAGCCAAGGAAGACTTGCAACTAGCTCGGGAGTGAGGAAGAAAAGAGAAAACCACCAGGCTTCACTAAATCTTTGATGCGCTTATCTGCCATGCACTCCTCTTCCTCAGTTTCAATTTTGTCACTCCTAACTCCTTTCTTTGTGCATTGCATAGGCTAGCTATAAACCTCCAACTATTTCACATGCCTGCGCTCCTCTAGGCTCTTTGTTTGCTCAGCTCCATATCTAAAAAAAACATTCAAGACCTCCGCTGTTTGTGACAGAGAGAGAGGCTCACATATAGAAGAACAGGTTTTGATTTCTCTTTGCTTAAAAAAAAATTATCAGCATAGAAAATCAGTTAACTGTATCATGTTAGCAAAGTCCAAGCGGTCTGATATCCTCCCTCACACGAAATCAGGGCTGAATGCGTCAAAGGAAAGTGCAAGAAACTTCACGTTACTGTGCTGGCTACATTTGCACAATGGCTACCTGCTTCACACTAAAGGACTAAGGCATCTTGTTTGCAACCCTTAGCAAGCGATTCACGTAAAGCTTACAAAGAAACATCCAGTGAAGTCACCATTGTTTTTTCTGTCTCCATATATACGCAACAATACTATCTTATTTTGAGTGAGAAATATTTGCAAGAATTGCGTCCGCTTATGTTGGGGAACCAAGGGACTTTGGGATGTGTACAGATAAAGATGAAAAAGCACACATGTAATTAGCACTTCATTCACCTTCAAATCTTTGTGTGCAAAGAATGCCTACAGTTGTTTTAAGACAAAAACGTTTTAAACTCTTCATTCATTTATTTGTGCAACCAACAAGTTTGCATACATTTCATTTCCTCTTTTACACTGTACAGTCGGTTTTTCCCCACTTGTCTGGAATTTCCACATAACAAGAGTGTGTGCAGGGGAACCTTTCTTAAGGCAAAAAAAAACCCCTAAAATTAGGACTTGGAAGTTTCCACATCCCTCATCATACCACCTGTAAGACAAACTCAGCACTTCCAATAATTAGGCAAAAATAAGAGAGCCTTTACCTAATGTGCACCAAGTTTAGAGAACAGGATGATCAAGACTTCTAGTCTTCATAAAATACGATTGCCTCATTCCAGCTAGATTCGCAAGACTAGTATTATGAAATTCAACATCACACTAAAATAAATATACCAAGTATGTTCTTTACAAAGGAAGTTCTTATACCACTAATGCATTAATCATGAAATTCCCATCTGTTATTTTACCAATAAAGTTTTCAAAGTAATTTTCATCTTTATTGACACAGCAGCAGAGTAATATCAACTGTTCCAAATACAGGAGATAGTCCAGCAGCAGTGTGGGATTCAGTTTGAGCTAATTTACCCAGTTTCACGCTGGGGCAAGAAACCTTTTGTGGTCTCAGTAAGCCCGCTCCAGCGTAGCGGTGTGAGTTCAGACACACTCCTAGAAAAAAACGCAAACGCTTTCAAATCTAACATTAAATAGGGTTTCCACGAGAGATTTTATCCTTTGCTAACAATTAAAAAGAATACAAAAAAATTTTAATAAGCAGGAATACTAATGTACTAATGTACATAAAGAAGCAGCTCCTCTGTGCTAATACTTTGTTCCTGCTAATAAGAATGCTGAGAAAGCGGTGGTGATTAATGAATGGTGAACCATTACATATAGGTTAAAAAAAAACAAAAAAAAAAAAAACTTAACTTTCTAAACTTATCTTCCTGAATTTGCTCATATCTTAGTTGTTGTTTCACTATTTCAAAGAAACAGACAATATCTAAAAGTTACATATATTGAAAGTTGTAACAAGCCATGCAGGAATAATGCATACTGCCAGCAGATCTACTTTCCCACGCAACTGAAAGATTTTAAAAATAAACCCTGGAAGAATATACCAGCATAACAATACTTTCATACTGTTATTAAACAGACTAAAGTGCTTGATTTTTTAAAGACTGAAATTACGACGCTAATATGGGGTTGGGAGTAGAAACCTTTACGAATACTCCAAACGGTCATACCTCTTCAACGCCCTTCCAGCTCTTCGCTGCAGTACAGTGGTCCCACACCTTTTGGCAGCACCCATCAAGTAGCGACCTGCCACACTACTACACAACGTTAAGAAAACATGCTACATGCAGAACCTGGCCAAATGAGAGGGAAGTTAAGATCACAGCCTCTGACACCGTGGGCAGGACCAGACTAAAAACAGTATCAGATTCATTTTATGGGGTTTTTGAACAAGCATTTCATGAGAAGGAAACAAAGCAAGAGCTGCTGAACATGCAGCAGAAGTAACCCAGTGGTACTTGAATTAAACCTAACCAAGTGCTTGCACTCTTTAATAAAAGCTGAACACGTTCCTATACTCCTGAGCTGCACAAATACCTACATATTTCCTTCAAACTGCCTATGCAGAATGAATTCATTAAGAAATAACGTGCAATGAACATTATCAACTCAAACACACCATCTTAGCCTATACTGGGATACCACCCCCAAGTAGACTCCCGCAATAAAATCTAGTGGTAGAACTACAAGTTCCCCACAACAAAGGCGGCTCCCTAGTCCATCAATTTTTTGTCCACATCCTCTTTACTTTTATTAGTGAAGTAACCTGCAAGTGGAACTAGTAGCATGCAAAAAAGTTGCTGTGGGATTTACTCATCTGTAAAGAAAAATGCACACAGCAAAGCAAAGAATCTACACACGCTTATACAGTTTCCAAGTGTAATATCAGAAGCAAGTTCCTCCAAAAGCAGATTAAATGGGTCAAAATCTGTTTTTTGTAAGCACGGAAGTTTCTAATAAGGAGGATCTGAGAAGTCAAGTGAAGTAATCAGAAAAATAAACAGCACCAATTTTGGGAAGCAAAAGCAGAGCCTGAGACAGAAAATGCTCAGTTACAGTGACATTTGAATAATATTTCTTTGGCTGCTGTAAAAGGCTTGTCCCAAATCTACTCATTTTTGTATAAATGCTTCCAGAAAACCTAACTCTGTTGAAGAGCTACAAATAAAAAACTGCAACAAAGCCAG